TCATCTTGGTCATTTCCACCATGGATGCTTTTTGGCTTAGTGATGCACCACATCCTTAGCATTACCTTTACCCATTGTAATGCGTGCTATATTTCATTAAAAGCATTACAGGTTTCCCTCATTTTATGTGGGCTCTATATGTGTGAATTCACTCTTATGCGATGACCCTTTTTATACCAAAAATTTGTTATATGTGATGTAAATTCACTCTTACGTGATCAGTACGGTGGAAGCCCGCAGTCAACTGCTTTGTGCTGTGCATTGTGTGAATGACGCACAACAAAATATAGTCTCCTGTGTGGATCTGTGCATCTCACTCAGTGTGCATCTCACTCATTGTCTGCGACATGTGTTTCTATACTTGCCATCCCCATTATGGTAATGGCACCCTGTGCTTGTGTGTACTGTCTGCTGCCAGTGAGTACCAAAATTGTCCTGTAAAAGCAGTAGAAATGGCTCTGGGGGTCAGTACAGTAGAGGTCTTGGAACGTATCTCTTTTCATTACATTGTAAAGTGGGTTCCCTATATGTGAATTCAAGTTATGTGCCATTTTCCAGGAATGCATGTAGAACATGAAGCACGGGAAACCTGTATTTGTTTTCAACATAGGGTATTGGGCTGGTGGGAAACTTTTGACAATGCACGGTCCAGATGGATGTCAAGAGGGTGGCTCCTTTTCCTGATGTATGAGTGGCTGTAAATGTTTTGCTCTGCTGTATTTGGAAACTGCTTGCTTTCGTCATCATTCAATAACAGCTTATACCAAAAATGGATAACCACTTTTACTTGTCTCAACATGGTTTTTGGCAGTGCAGAGTGCAGAATGGTGGAAGGGTTCCTTCATGGGAATTCATTTGAATTGTTTGCCATTATGCAGTTGGTTTGTAGAACCACATAGACAAAATCAAACAGTTTAGTTTAGATAAATATTTTCTGTAGACATGCACAACACTTTCTGCTGTGCCAGATATTTTGTGTTGTTGTTTGTCCATCATGCTTTGGGGGAGCAGTTTCATGTCCTGCCAAAGCAGAATTTTTAACGTCAGCTTCAAAAGTTTGATCTGTATTGTTTTTTGTATACAAACTGCACTACATTTCCAAGGGAAAAAAGTGTTACTTTTATTTATTTATCCAACCTCTGCTTCCCCATGCTGACTCCCACCCTGGAACTCATTAGCAGGGCTCATTAAGTGGACCTTCAGTTCTCAGCCTCAGTGCAGTATCTGCCAGCACAGAACCATGTTCCTGGTTAGAGCCTCTGGGTCCTACCACAAAATAAATAAGTAGGCTCTGTGTGAACTGAGAAGTATAGGAAGATCAGATGCTCCAAGACGGGCAGGATGGCCATGTACCAGGTCTGTGAGTCTGCTTGGACAAGTCCAGTGACATCTGGAATGCAGGGCTACCGATCCTGGCCTCCTTAGGCAAGCACTTTGCAATGTTTAATGCTTGTTAATGGGGAACAGGGGAAGATTTTACTAAATGCCCAGGAAGTGTGTTAGATAAAAAGGCTCATGCCTGGGGGCCTGAGAAGGGCTTATGATTTGAGGCTAAGGGTTTGGGGTAGAACAGAGTGGGAAGAAGACTGATGTAGATAGGCATTGAGAAAGGAAAACCTTCAGAAGTCTTGCCTCCTCTCTGGTCATGCACTTGGTTTGTGGCCAAAGCCTCTTCTCCAGGAGGGTCAAGGAAAACATAGGCTGTGTTTAGTCTGGCAGGTTTTGGTTGTTGAAGAAATATTTTGCACCTGAAGATGGCCCAGACCAGACACTCAGAAGACTAAACATTCTGTCTGTCATCAGCTCAGCAGACCCAGGAAACAGATCTGTGAGCAGGGGCCTCCCCTGGTCTTTGCTTTTTGGCTAAGTACAGACAGTCAAAATGCTGAAGGCTGAATTGATTCAGTCTTTGCAGGTTAGTCTAAGCTGCAAAGATTGAACCAACAAGCACATGAACAGACATTCACTTGTGATTCAGGAAATGCAGTCACATGCCTACAGTGGCTCAAGCCAGAAGCCAGGGGGTTCTAGAGAACAGCTCTCTGGCACACAGCTAGCATGAGTTGTGTGTTCACTTTCTCTTCCTGCTGTCCCCAAGGTCTCTGAGATTTGCAGTCCACGGTCACAGCAGCAAGACTCTGCAGGGTTGCTCATCACTTCCTCTTCCAGCTTCCAGGTGCCTCTGGGATTGTAGTCCACAGCCAGCACTAAGCCAGCAGGGCAGGGCTTTAGGTGGGTTATGTGATGATCAGGTGGCTGTATGCAATGCTGCTTGCTCTTGTTGTCCCCTTGGTAGCTGAAGCCCTAGTCTGGGATTGTCCATATTGCTGCCAGCTTCATTTTATGTATGAAATACTCTTTTGTAAGGGGCTCAAGGTGGCAGATGAGGAATTATGCATAGGGTATATAGGAGCTGGTGAAAGAGAACAGGAGACGGGAACCTTCCAGGATGTCTGGTAGCTTCTTGTTTAATATGTGACAGCATTGGGACACTTCTGTGCATGGAATAGCATGATGTTTCCCAATGGGATGCTTGCAGGGTTGCTTTATCACTTCTGAACTCACTGATCCCTTAACGCTGCTAGCCTGCCAGGGCCAGAGTTGAAGTACCTTGTTGTTTTTCATAAATTGAATTTCCTTTGTGAAATGGTAATTTAAATCTGGGGTGGGGGGAGGGGATTACATAGAATCCTAAAAGGTTTCCTGAAACACAAAACTCTGAAGAAAGGAGAAGTTTTGGGAATGCTGTGAATCAGTCTCCCTCTGGGCTCTCACCTCCCTGAATACAATGAGCTGAAAAATGTTTTCTTAAGATCCACAATCTCTGATTTATAATATGTGGGAATACATTCAGAATATTTAGAAACAAATTAATTGATGTGCCACTGCCAGAATTGAAGCATTGTGCTGCCCTGTTCCATAGTAAATCCTTCTCCAATAGGAATTAACACTGGTCTTGTTTGTGGTTTTTCTTTTTTTTTTTAGAACAACATATTACACGAGCTACAGACAAGTGTACACCATGGAGTATCAGACTGTGTACCGGTGCTGCCCAGGATGGTCCCAGCTTGGAGAGGATGCTGGCTGTTTTTACCGTAAGTATCACTCTCTTCACAACCAGCTGCATTGCAAATAGGGGTGCACCGATAAAGATTTTGGGGACCAATATTGATAGCTGATATTTAAAGGGGCATATCAGCTGATACCGATCCAATGTCCAATACAGCTCCAATTAGATGGTAAGTCCATTGTGGTGGAAGGGTGGGGGGAGGGTAGCGGCATGGGGGGCAGATCAACCCCCCCACAGTGAGGGAGGGGTCAGGGGCAGGTGTTGCCCAGCTGGGGCAGCAGAGCGCGTGGAACGGAGGCGTAGCTTGTGGGGTGGGGGTGGCTCCCGCTGCTCTTGCACCCCAGGAGGGGGGGCAGGGGGCGACGTGTGCCCCTGGATCTGCACAGTGCAGGGTGGGCTGCAGCTGTGGGGTGGAGCTGGAGCTGGTACTGTGCGGGGCTCTAGTTGCTGGGGGCTGGGCTCAGAGCGGGCTCTGGCAGCACTTTGGGAGGGCTGCAGCCAACCCAGATTTCGCCACAGCTCCACTCCCAGCCCTGTGCTGCTGCCCAAAGCTGCGGCGGTGGCTGACGGCAGAGCGGGGCTGGGAGCGGAGCTGTGGCAAAAACTTGGGGTGGCTGCAGCCCCCCCCCAGTGCTGCCAGAGCATGCTCCGAGCCCAGCCCTCGGCAACAAGAGCCCCGTGCAGCACAGACTCCAGCTCCACCCCGCAGCTGCAGCCTGCCCTGCACCGTGCAGATCCAGGGGCACATGCCCCCCTCCCTCCCTGCCCTCCCAGGGTGCAAGCAGCAGCAGGAGCTTCCCTCACCCCACAAGCCGCACCTCTGTCCCACACGCCCCCCACACCCTAGCTGGTCAGCAGCTGCCCCTGTTCCCTCACTGTGGAGGGCGTTGAACTGCCTCCCCATGCCCCTTCCCTGCCCACTGCCCTTTAGACTTACCAACTGGAGGCAGCTCTCCATGCTGCCGGCTCTGCTTCTTGCTGCCTGAGTGCTGCACTGTGGTTGCGCGCAGCACGGGCATTTATCAGCCAAATTATCGGCCCCATCGGGCTGATATCTAGTATAGACAGTTTTCTTTATGTCGGTACTGATCTGATATTGGACTGATATATCGGTGCACCTCTAATTACAAGTGCCTTTCATACTTATTTTCTGTATTGCAGTTGGTGTTTTAAAATCCAGTCTGACACAAATTATTTATTTCAGTGAAAGTGAGGGGAGAAAAAGTTTTTCTCTGCCCTCCTATGAAATTCCTGAGCCACTTCCTTACAAAACTTCCTCACTGTGACACAAAAAGACTTTCAACATCACATTATTTAGTTACTCAGTTGCAAAATGCTCTTACATTTTTTAAATAAAACCCCAATTGGTGATTTAAGTAGTGCCACTGGCGGAAGTAGTGGAGAGCTGTAATCTGAGCTCTGAGTGGAGTTTTTTTTAAGCACAGCCTTAATTACTGTCTGTGGAAGTGAACATGCCAGTGATAGTTAGCTAATTTGCCTCCTAATTCCTCATGTTCAGTGTTCTATGGATTAGTTTCTGACAGCTTCCTCAGAGGAGGAGGCCTTTGGCTAACAAAGCTTGTGAACAAATGAAACTTCTTGGATGGGTCATGTAAGAAAATGGGCTTCACTGTTGTGTTACAGAAGCCTGTGAGTTTTGGCTGAGAGTAGACAGACATTTAATTGAGTGAGCCTGCTGCCTGTTTCACCTTCCCTGCACCTATAAATGAGAATGAAAAGAACTGAGGTTCACTCATAGATTTGTTCTCCAGGAGATGTCTCCCAGGCTGGCTTGCAAAGCCTCAAAGGCACCAAGTGATCCTTCTATTATTTTTGGTGGTCTCTTCACCCTTTGCTTTTAGTCAGAGCTCCCCTTGTTAATGGTGCATGGTTTCTTAAACATGAAGTTCACAGAAAGCCATCAACAAGAGGATGTTGTAGTGTCACTTTCTCAGAACAGGAAATTGAAGAAAGGGGTGATATAATGTCCCTAGGGGGCTTTGAGTAGAGGGACTTGGAGCCAGGCCAGCTTGGTTCTGCTTCCTAGTTTTCCACTGTCTTGCTTTGAGCCCTCTGGCAAATCATTCTTTGCCCCCATTTAACTGTGTGTAAAATACATAGACAAGCACCTGTTTCACAATCTCAAGGGGGCTACAAGGAATTTTGAGGTAGCTATAGGACCCAACCCCTCCTAGTGCCACCTCTGTTCAGGGCACTCTGCTCTGCTGCCTTTCCCTTGGGAGCCCAGCACTGGCCATGAGTCCTTGGGGTGGTCCCGACCCCACGTAGCTGAGCCTGTCCCACTCCCGCTGGCTCCAAGCCCAGCCACCCTGCTGGGAAGAGGCTGGTACAGGCCCTGCCCTGAGCCTGCAGCAGGCAGCTCGCGCTTGCCCTGCACACAAATCCAGGGGAGCACATGCCACTTATGCTATTCCTGGGGGCGCACACAGCGGCAGGGAGCAGCCCCCCGTCCCCACCCATGCTCCCTGCAAAAAGCTGCCTGTGGCTCCATCTTGCTCCCAGTCCTTGGGTCACATTCACTTCCCTGACTGGGCAGTGCCTGTCCCTGCCTCTGCCCCAGCCCCACTCCCTCCCTCACTGTGGAGGCCTCCGTCTGCCCCGGCCATGCCCCCCGCACCCTCCCCCGCCCCGACTTACCGGCAAGACACTGCTCTCCAAGCTGCGTTCCTGACCGCATGCATGTGTGTGGCTGTGTGCATGCATGCAGCATTTATTGGTGACATTATTGGCTACAACAGCCAAAAAAAGCCAAATACCGGTAATGTTAATTTTCCTTTTATCAGAGCTGATTCAATATGTGACTGATATATCGGTACACCTCTAATTACAAGCCCTTCATCCACGAATTTGAACAAGGTGCTTTTTACCCCCTCATCCAAGTTGTTGATGAAGATGTTGAACAGTGTGGGCCTGAGGACTGAGCCCTGGGGGACCCCGCTGCCCACATTCCTCCAAGTCAAAAATGACCCGTCCACCACCACTCTCTGGGTGCAGCCCTCCAGCCAATTGGTGACCCATCTGACTGTAGGCATTGACACTGCAGTCCCCTAATTTCTTAATGAGAATGGGGTGAGAGACCGTGTCAAAGGCCTTCCTAAAGTCCAGAAAGACTATGTCCACCATGACACCTGCATCCAAGGATTTTGTGACCTGGTCATAGAAGGCCACCAGGTTGGTCTGACAGGACCAGCATCCTTTCCTGCCCATGGCAGGGGGTCAGACTTGATGATCTGCTCAGGTCCCTTCCGACCCTACCAACTATGAAACTATAAGTTTCAGTCCCTGATTCGATTCGGCAAAGATTCAGCCCAATTCGGTGGCCAAATCTCTGAATCCAAATCGAATCAGGAGACCTTTTAATCTCTCCGAATCAAATTGGAACCCTCTGAATCAATTTGGAGACATTTGGAAAGATTCGGTGATTCGGACAGAGACAGCTTTAAATGTTTTTTCTACATACGTCTAGGTAGCAGGTGCTCGTGAACACTGCGATGCTGGGGCACGTGAAGCGTCCCACAGAAGCGCGGACAGCTTCCCAGCGTGCTTGGCAGCAGACCCGGAAGTGGACCAGAAGCACTTCTGGTCTACTTCTGGGTCCACTGGGGAGCACACAGGGGGGTGCTCCCCGGCAGACCTGTACACCATCCTTCCTTGTGGTGTATAGGTCCATAGACCCTGTAGCTCCCTTTTACATATTGTTTATTTGGGATTCATAAGAGGAACAAAACAGGAGGTGTCTGAGGAGGAGATCTACAAACGTGATGATTTTCCCCTTGTTTTCAGAACAGGAAACAGGTGGGTCAGGTAATCAGTTAAAGCAATGCCTTAGTGAAGAGGATGCAAACCATGAAAATAGGAGACTCCTGGCCAGGAACCTGATGCACCAGTACTGGTGACTGGGATTCCAGCCCTGCCATTCCTCGGGTTCACACTAATCAGGCTCCAAGCAGCTCTGCTGCGGACTCCCCTGTTTGGCTAACCCGGAGCGCTGAGAATATCTTAGAATAATATTCTGTGTGATAAAACACAGAAGCTGTCCCTCTCTCCCTCAGCAACTCTCTGGGGTGGGTCAGTTAGTGCTGGCTGTCTCTGTAGATGGAGCTGGTGCTGGCTGCGCTCCCCAGCCATAGGAGAGTGAGGCTGTTGCTACTCCCAAGAAAATAAAAAAAGGGAGGGAAGAGCTGCCAGACTGATACTAGCAGTTGAAGTGAAGCACGAACTTTGATAAAAAAAATGAAGATTGTGCAGAGCTGTTCCGGAGAGAAGGCTCCATGGAGGCTCCTTCCCAGTCTGGTGGAAATGCTTGCACAGCACAGCAGGGGTGGGGGAATGCTAATGCAGAAGGGCTGACTCGCTAATGTGAAGCTCTTGGTTGCCTTATGGCAGAAGGGATTCAGTTTGTAGAGTCAAAGGTTTCCCTGCTCACATCTGGCACCAGCTCACATGGAAACATGCAAAGGGTTTCCACATATCTTTTAGACACTGGTGTTCAGCTTGTTTTTGTCATGAAGATATAGATGCTCCTCATTTTACACTGCATACTCAACATGGGCTCCACCTCGCAAGTTTTAGTGTTGTTCAGGGGTATGAAGAGAAGGTGGCCAAGACCCTTTACTTCAAGGTGAAACCCTGTTTGAACCACAACTTTGACTGAGTTTGCAGTACAGACAGGGGCTGCAGACAAGGTCATCTGGGTGTTGGTATAGCTACGGCTGTTGGACATAGCAAGACAGAGTCAAGGCAGTCTGTCTTGCTCTGCCTTCCCCTCTGAGTTGACATTTCTTCATCACAGTATTCTCCAGACTGTTTCCTTTACCGGGGTCTCTCTCTCTCTCTCTCTCTCAGCTGTGTGTCTTTTTGTTTTTGCCTGGCTTACACCTTTTTTTTCTGTCTCAGCTCTGAAGTGCTGATGTTCCCTGTCCCCCAGGAGTGTGCTGGCTGGTCCCACACTGTCTCTTCATTGTTTAGCAGGCTTGGGGCTCTCTTGAACTGCAAGACCTGACG